GGTAGGTTACTTAACCTCTCTGGGCCTCATACGACATTTACAGGAATTAATGAAATGACCCTCGTGAAAGTATCTGTACAGGTCTACTGCTCTTAGTTTTGTTCTTTTCTTTCTCTTGTCACTGCACTTCATTGCCTGTTGCTTTGGCCATGCAGGTTAGTCAGGAGAAGGTTCTGGATCTGGATTCCTGTGGCTGGTTCCATGCCTTCTTCCAGACCTTGGAGGTGTCTGTGCTCTGATGTCTTCCTCTCGTTCTTCCTTGTTATGCATCCTGGAAGCTCTGTGCACCTGGCTGCCCCCTTCCCACCTCACTATACACCCAGGAATCCCTCCTACCCCTTCCCATCAAGCTTGGTGAATTCCTCCTCCTGAAAACACCTTCCCAGGTGTGTTCAAGGAAGAGACGGGCACCTTCCTGACTGCACACTGGGGAACTCTCAGCCTCATGCTCCCCTCCTGCCCAGTGCCAAGGGCACGGGCCTGTCCTCAGGTAATAATAATAGCACGCCTCTCTGTTGTTGAGGGCTGCATGCCAAGCAGAGCGCTAAGAACTTCACCTTGATTATTTCATTTACTCTTTGCAGCAACTCACTGAAATAGGTACCATTATTATCATCCCCTTACTGTAGATGAGGAAACTGAGGCTCAAACAGGGGAAGTTACTTGTCCCAAATGACAAAGCCAGTGAGGGGAGGAGTTGGACGTGAGTCCAGACAGCCTGGCCACAAAGCCCTTTCTCTTAACTCCTCCGCCAGCCTCCAGGGCTCACATTCTCATCTGATTCATTTCCTCTGTGTCCTCTCCATTTGGTCACTTTAGAGTCATCCAGCTTAACCTCTAAAGGACAGGGCTGCACGAAAGCCTCAGCTAGCCTCAGGCGAGAGGTATTTGGTTAAGATGTTCTAAGGAAAAAAGTGACAGTGGTGATCAGATCAAGTCATTGGCCTGGCACCCAAGGCTTGTTTGGGGATCACCACAAAGCACGTAGCCCTGGCCTCTTAGTTACCCCAGAGAACATTCTTCAGTTTTCATTTTGGCTGGTGGAGTTTCCAACCAAGGAATCAGGTCAGAAAAGCCAGAGGTCTTCTTGTCTATTTTGTTTCAAGATACAATTCCCTTTTAAAATTCCTCCTATTCTATCATGAAAAAGTGCTCAGCTTCTTCAGTCATCAGGGAACTGCAAAATAAACCCACAATCAGATACAACTACGTACCCATCAGAACGGGTGCTTTGAGAACAGACGGAAAATGCTCAGTGTTGGCGAGGATGGAACCCTCATAAACAGCTGACAGGTGTATCGATTCTTACATTTATTTGGCAAAACTTTCTGGCTGTAGCTATCCAAGCTGAGCACAGATATACCCACGATCCAGAAATTCCTCTCCTAGCTAGAAATGCAACAGAAATGTGTGCACATGCTCAACAAATGACGTGTCTGGGAGGTTCACAGTGGCTGTGTTCACAAGAGTCAAAACTGGAAACGAGCCAAATGGCCATGACCAGTAGAATGGAGAGATAAAGTGTGGTGTAGTCAGACCATGAATACCCACTACTACTGGACGATGAGAAGGAACGAATGACTACATGCAAGGCTATGGACAAATTTCATGAGTGTAAAGGTGAGCCGAAGAAGCCCAAGACAGAAAGGCTACATATTGCATGTTTTCATTTATGCGAAATGTAAAAAACGGGCAACACTCATCCCTGCTCGTAGAAGTCAGGGTAATGGCTACCCTTGGCGGGGAGGTAACCACTGGAAGGAAGGGGGCAGGAAGGGGTCTTCTGAGTGTCGTCTGTGTTTTCTTTCTTCACCTGGTTACACGGGATGGCCGATTTGTGAATATTTCTCAAGTTTATGATATGTGGACTTTTTTTCGCATGTATGTTCAATACAATGTTTTAAAAAATATTCCTCTCCATCTCCTGATGACTTAATAGAGAAAATTTTCAACTTGGGTCTGGTTTGCCTTTAATACTTCTCTTTAGACCGGCTCATCCTTTGTTAACCAGGAAGAGTATGCCAACCTCAGAGGCTTCGGTAAGCAACTATATCCAACTTGAACTGAATGACATTGTTTTGTTTTTGTTATGTTTATTTTTACAGTTGCTACCTATATATGGCCATCAATACTGGTTTTCCATTTATGGTAGTGATACTAAGTTTTTTTTTAAAAAAATAGCTTTAAGTAAAAAAGGAAAAAAAAAAGCCAATTGACTTACATTAAAAAAATTATGTAAATAACCCTACAGGTGGTACTTAGTTATGGTAAACCTTGTGAGGGTGGAGTTTGTGAAACACTTTTCAAATGGAAAATGGCAGGGATTAGGGGGAGGGGAGAAAACCAGTTTCAGCCTGTCCCTGTCTCTCAACGAGTCCTCACTGCTCAGTGCCCAGCACAGACAGGCTGTCTGGCCTAAGGACATTACAGAGGAATTTGTGAGACATGTAAAGGAAAGCATGCTCCAGGCATAGTGGGCAAAGCAGGGGGCTAGGAGTTGAGAACCTGGGTTCACTCAATGTTTATCCATTCTCTATGTGCCAAGCACTGTTCCAGGCCCTGGATCTGCGCTGATGTACAAAGCGGTGGAGTCCCAGGCCAGCCAGTAACCAGTCTGGGTCCTGGTCAAGCCTCTCCTTTTCTTGAGACTTCTGTCCATCTAAGATGGGCTGTGATTGACACTTCAGCAGCCGCTGGCCTTTCTGGAGTAGAACTGTGGACCCCAGGATGCTTAGGAAAGGACTTTAAAAAGATGGGGTTGTGGGTGGTGAGTGCATAGTGTGTACATGGGGAGGAGGGTTACTCTTAACCAAGGAATGAGGAGAAAATAATTGGGTCTTCAGACTCATCAGAAAGGGAGATCTCACTGTGCCCTTGACAATTGTCAAGTTAGCCTCACTTCGCTGGCTCACCTCTTAGTGCATGACCAAGCGATCGAGAACTTGAAAGGAGATGGAAGGAAAATACATCTCGAAAGATAAGTGCGGGGGAGGGCGAGGAGGTAGCTCAGTGGTATAGTGCATGCTTAGCATCCACAAGGTCCTGGGTTCAATCCTCAGTACCTCCATTAAAAAGTAAGTAAATAAATAGACCTAATTATCTCCCCCACCCAAAAAGAAAAATTAAAAAAAAAGTGATGAGCTGACTGAATGGATGGATGGATGCCTCCCCTATCCTCTTAAAAACTTCATCCCTACCTTTCATCCTCAGCGGCTGGGCATTGCAATGGCAAGTGAGATCGGGGCCCTGCCAAGAGTATTTCTGGAGATAGTACTTTTCATTTATTCACTCATTCAACATATTTATTGACTGCCTACTAGGTGCCAGGCACTACATTTTAGACCTGTTCTCTGTCCAATCTGGCAGCTACTTGCCACATATGGCTGTTCAGCATTTGAATTTCAGCTAGTTCAAATTGAAAATACACCTCGTAGCTTGAGGATCTAGTATGAAAAAAGGAGTGGTAAATGTCTCACTAATGATTTTCAATATTGATTACACCTTGAAAGATATTTTGAATATATTAAGGTAAATAAAGAGTATATTAAAATGGGTTTCATCTGTTTCTTTTTACTGTATTTTAACACGATTACTAGAAAACTGAAAATTGCACATGTGGCTCACATTTGTGGTTTGCATCAGATTTTTATTAGACAGTGTCATGCTAGACAGGGTTCCCGCTCTGAAGGTGCTCAGACTCTAGCTGGTGAGACTAACAGAAACAAATGTTACCAGGCTGGCACAAAGCCAGGGCACACTAAGGAGGAGGGACCAGCAGCCTCCCCATGCCTGTCTCTTCTTAATTCTGTCAGATCTGTGCAAGACACAGTGATCTCCAGAAGCTCAGCTCTGTCTATTTCGCTCTTCTGCTGCACGCCCTGTCCCCTGCATTTTCCCTGGTAGAATTCCAAGCTTCAATTTCAATTCTGATCGATTCATGAAACCCCTATCACCGCTCCATCTAAATATTTCTCCTCCTCAAAGTCTCTGACAACTAGTTTTTGTTCATTTCACCAAACTTCCCTTCATGACATTGCTAGTTCCTTAAGATCAGGAACTTGCCTTCCTGGGGCATCTAGCTCAGCTTCAGGGCCGTGTGGCCACTTGGTAAGTAGCTGTCCAGTAGAATAAATGTCTTGGATTCCTAAAGTTAGAAAGAGCTGGAGTGGAGAGTCCTGGACGGGGGAAGGGTGGCACAGAGGTATTGAGAAATTAAACCTGGGCTGGAGGCAACTTAATGGTCCATCCCCCACCAAGAGAACCTCTCTGACAATGATTTGTATTAGGGCCACAACCCAGAAAGATGGGTGGTAATTAATGTGGCTTCCAGCCTAGAATTTTGGGGAGTTGGGGACAGACTGGATCTATAATTCAGTAAATCAAACAGGACAGAGAAGGGAGGCCATTCTTCTCCATCTGCATTTGTTGAAGAGAGCTTTAAATGACTTTACCCCAGAGCATTCTCCCATACCTGGAAGGCTGATCTAATCTCTCCAAGACCCCTGAAGCACCGTGGCTGGGATCTGTCCTGCAGCAAATGCCTCGAGATTTGTGGGTGGGGGCCTAGGTCCCCAAAGGATTACTTTGGAGGGGGCGCGCAGAGTAGGAGAAGAAGACAGCAGGTTTCTGAGTCCAGAAATTTCATTTCAGGTACTTATATGTTGCCAGATGCTCGCAGGGTTGAGAAGTTGCAATGGTCCCTAAGAGGGGCTGTTTGGGGTAGGCTGGTCTAGAGGATGTGAGTAGCCTCCAGACTCCGAAGTCACTGGCCCAAGCAAGATGTCAGCAATGGGTGAAAACCTGAGGATGTAAGGAGTTAATGGGAGTGGCTTGAAATCGACTTGAAGGTCAAGACTATGCCTTACGCCCTCTGCATTCCCCCAGCAGTTAGCCCAGTGCCGGCCACACGGGAAGCACGCAAACGAAGTCCTTCCGAACTGAACCGAAAACAGGAGACAAAAGCACGCACTCTTCTCCACTCCCGCGCCAATCCTATCCAAACTCCCAAGTTACTCTCATCCTCCGGGAGTCAGGGAGCCCGGGGTAGAAGTGAGTGGAGGGACAGAGGCCAGAGGGAACCGGAGACCCACGCAGCAGGCAAGGAAGTGGGGATGGGTGAGTGGGCGTGCGCGCACGCACAGGCCAGCGCGCGAGAGTGCCGAGAGAAGGGGGTGGTCTCCAAAAGGGGGAGGGGAGAAGGCAGGGGGCGGGGAGAACAGGGCCCTTTAGGACCCGGCTGCGGCTGCGGGGGAGGAGAAAGAAGCGGAGGAGGCGGCTCCCGCGCTCGCAGGGCCGTGCCACCTGCCCGTTCGCTCGCCGCCGTCGCGCTTACCGCCGCCAACATGCTGCCGAGACTGGGCGGCCCCTCGCTGCCGTTGCT